TATCAGAGCAATTTTTTTTCCCTAATAATTTGTTTTTCTGCTGCTCTCTTTTGGCCTCATCACTTCACGCCAATGACCACTCCTTCAGATTCTTCAAACCAACACACAAATCCCATCACCACCATTAATACCCATGAAGACTCAACCTCTGCTAAGCAATCACAACACCATGTTGTTCCTTTTGATGCGGAGAATCCCTATTATCTACATTCTTCTGATGGTACAGGCGCCACTCTCGTTGGAAACATTCTTACCGGCATTGAAAACTACAATCCATGGGCTCGGGCAATCACGATGGCATTGAAAGGCCGCAATAAATTCTGTTTTGTTGATGGCTCCCTTCCCATGCCAGACTCTACCCATCCCGATCATGCTCGTTGGCACCGCGTAAACAATATGGTGATGTCTTGGCTCCTTAATTCTATACATCCATCCCTTTCACACACAGTTTTATATGCCCCAGATGCTGCCTCAGTTTGGACAGATTTAAAAGATCGTTTCTTTACATCAAATGGACCTCGTATCTATGATATTGAGAAACGCATTGCAACTTGTTACCAAAAAGATGCGTCCATTGCAGATTACCACAATCAGTTGAGTGCCCTGTGGGATGAATTAAATCTGTTAGATCCTCCTCCTAAATGTTCATGCTCTGCTCGACATGACTACATTGCACAAATTGAACGCCGCCGGTTGATGCAGTTTCTCATGGGACTTCGAGAAACTTTTGCTCAACCACGGAGTCAATTGCTGCTCAACAACATTCTTCCCACTGTGAAAAATGCATACAACTTACTGCTACAGGATGAATCCCAACGTATACAAAGTGGTAATGGTGGACATTCTACAGAACATTCTGCTCTTCAAGCTACAAACACACAACATCCACAATTTGTTGCTGCTGCCAACCTATCATCTGCGAGCAATATCCATACATCTGCTTCCACTTCTCGTTCTAACAACAATCGATCTCGGACAAAGTGTGCACACTGTGGGATCCCTGGCCATACACAACAATCTTGTTACAAGCTGCATGGATATCCCCCTGGACACAAATTTTACAAAAAAGGTAATACAAATAGCCAACCTATGGGGACACCATCAACTTCGTCAGAGATCTCTTCCGATTCCATTCAGCAATTACTTCGACTTTTACGAGAGGTAAAAGAGCCTAAAGCAAACCTTGTTGGTAAGTCTATTGCTCTAACTTCTATTTTTAATTTTTCCAATGAATGGGTCATTGACACAGGTGCTACTGATCATGTCTGTTTTAACCCATCTATTTTAAATAATTTATCTATGCCTAATAATATGGTGACTAATATATCTGTTCCAAATGGTGTTACTATTCCGGTCCATGGTGTTGGTAATGCTCGCCTATCTTCGACTGTTGTTTTACTTGATGTTTTATATGTCCCGACTTTTAAATTTAACTTATTATCTGTACAAAAATTGGCTAAAGATTCCAATTGTACCGTTATTTTTTTCCCTAATTATTGTGTGTTTCAGGACCTTTCAACGAAGACGGAGATTGGTCGGGGCCATGAACGCAATGGTTTATACTTTTTTAGTTCTCCACCACACCCCGCTGCATTACTCACCATTACACCTAATACATGGCATGCTAGATTTGGTCATCCGTCACATTCTGTTTTTAAACACTTAATTTCTATTTTGGGTTGTTCTGATTTTCAAGATCCTTGTGATGTTTGTCACATTTCCAAACAGACACGTTTATCTTTTCCTATTAGTCATACTTCTACTTCTGCTTGCTTTGATTTGATTCATGTTGATATTTGGGGTAAATATTCTACTCCAACTCGTACTGGACATCATTATTTCTTAACTATCGTTGATGATTTTTCTAGGGCAACATGGACATTTTTAATGAAATATAAATCTGATGCTTTCTTATTACTTGTTCGTTTTTTATCATATGTAAAAAACCATTTCAACACATGTGTTAAAACTTTTCGTTGTGACAATGGCTCTGAATTTACACAAACTGATTTTCAAAACATCTTACTTCAAAATGGTATTTTACAACAACTTAGTTGTCCTGGGACACCTCAACAAAATGGGGTTGTCGAACGCAAGCATCGCCATCTCCTTAATGTGGCACGTGCTTTACGCTTCCAAGCGGGCCTACCCCTCAAATTTTGGGGTGATTGTGTTTTAACCGCTACTTACATTATCAACCGTACCCCTACCCCAAACTTACAAAATAAAACTCCTTTTGAAATTCTTTTTGGTTGTTCTCCTGATTTCACCATTTTACGTACTTTTGGTTGCTTGTGTTATGCTTCTACTATACAATATCATCCTAATAAGTTCAATCCTAGGGCCAAGCGTTGCATTTTTCTTGGCTACCCTCAAGGTCAAAAAGCTTACAGGTTATATGATCTTGACTCTCAGAAAATTTTGGTAAGTCGCGATGTTGTCTTCTATGAAACTATTTTTCCTTTTAAAAATGATCCTAATTTATTTGATCAATCAACACTCACCCCTATATTGCCTTTACCCATACCATCCATTGAAACACACAATACCCCAATTACCAAACCTCTTCCTGAAAACCCCATACCACCCATTGAAGCACATGGTACTCCAACTACTTCACCTATTCCTAAGAATTCTAATGCCACTCCTCACATACCTACCTTACCAGAAAATCCTCCACCTGAGGTTAATTCTCCTATGCTTAACCCACCCATCCCCACGCAAGTGCAACCTATCCAACAACGATCTCAAAGGCAACGAAAGCCTCCTAGTTACCTCTCTGACTACCAATGCAACATGACCACATCCACAAAATATCCCATCTCCAACTTTCTCAACTTTAAACCATACACTGAAGACCACATCTGCTTCATAAACAACATTTCTAAAGAAATCGAACCCTCTTCCTTCTCAGCTGCACAAAAAGACCCTAAATGGCAACAAGCCATGGAAGAAGAAATTCGTGCTCTAGAAGCCAATCACACTTGGTCTTTAACCACTCTACCACCTGGTAAGTCTGCTATTGGTTGTCGATGGGTTTACCGTATTAAATATAACCCTGATGGTTCTGTAGAGCGATACAAAGCTCGCCTAGTCGCCAAAGGATACTCTCAACTTGAAGGGTTGGACTTCACTGATGTCTTTGCCCCTGTCACTAAGCTTGTCACCGTTCGTACAGTTCTAAGCATCGCAGCTGCACAAAGATGGGCTACCCATCAACTTGATGTCTCAAATGCCTTTCTTCATGGCACTCTTCATGAAGAAGTCTATATGCAGGTCCCTCCCGGTTTTGGGCGAAAGGGGGAGAATCGCGTTTGTCGTCTCCACAAATCTCTTTATGGGCTTAAACAAGCATCCCGATCTTGGTTCACAACTTTCTCCACATCCCTCACTAATGCTGGCTTCACACAATCTAAAGCAGATTATTCCATGTTCACTTATAGACGAGGTCATTTTCTAACCATATTGCTTGTTTATGTTGATGATATTGTAATTACAGGGAATGATCCGACTATCATTACTATCCTCAAACGTTACCTTGCACAACAATTCCAGCTCAAAGACTTGGGTCCATTAAAATACTTCCTTGGAATAGAAGTTGCACGATCCTCTCTTGGAATCTTCCTAAATCAACGGAAGTATACTCTTGAGATTCTCTCCGATACTGGCCTATTAGCTTGCAAACCCGCCTCAACTCCCATAGAGGTTAACCACCAACTCACTCCTGATACTGGTGAACCTCTTACTGACCCCTCCATATATAGAAGATTGATTGGTCGTCTGCTCTACCTTACGGTCACTCGACCAGATATCACTTATGCAGTCAATCTTCTTTCTCAATTCATGTCCGCACCACGTGACACACATTGGCACGCTGCTCTTCGAGTTGTGCGTTATCTCAAAATGTCTCCTGCTCGTGGTATCATATTATCCACGAATAACTCCTTAAAATTACATGCATATTGTGATGCTGACTGGGCCTCTTGTCCAACCACACGACGCTCAACTACAGGATATTGTACTTTCCTAGGAACAAGTCCGCTATCCTGGCGAACAAAGAAGCAAACCACAGTTTCTCGATCCTCTGCTGAAGCTGAATATCGTGCCATGGCAAGTGCAGCAAGTGAAATTACATGGCTCCAACTACTCTTATCCGAACTAGATATACCAGCTCATCCTGCACATTTACATTGTGACAATCAAGCATCTCTCCACATTGCCAACAATCCCGTCTTCCATGAACGAACCAAGCATGTCGAAATTGATTGTCATTTCGTTCGAGAAAAGATTTCTTCTGGTACACTACGCACCACTTTCGTTCCATCTAATCAACAACTCGCCGACATCTTCACAAAGGGCCTCCTCCCTCAAACATTCAACGCCATTACTTCCAAGCTCATGTACCACCCTTGAGCTTGAGGGGGAGTGAAGAAAAATAATATCTATATTTATATTACATATATCTTCTAGAATATTTTATATATGTATTCATAATTATTTCCATATTCCTAGGATCATAGTTTAGGTAAATTCCTAGATGATTGGTTCTCTTACCTTTCTCACTTTTCCTACCGTTAGCTTAGTTGTATATATATACACACATTGTATTCTTCTTTCAATACACAACTTATATGCAATATATATTTTTCATCTTTCTCTGCAACAATGCTTGCAGTTTATTCTCAATTCCTTACACTCATTTCCCACTAAACAATTAAACTCCATTTACAAATAAACAGGAATTGCACTTTCAAAACCCATTTCTTATACCAATAATACTATATTGCATTACATGCACTCTCACTTTTTACTCTCGGCCGACATGACATATTCTGATTGATTCATAAAAAAAAGTATAATAAGTCACACTTTTTATTCATTTTTCTTCCTCTTCCAATAAAATCAAGACACATTATATGACGAGAGTTTTACCCCTTAAAGACAGGTCGCTGTCATTTTCGTGCTTATATTGAGTTGAAGTTCCATGGCCTACGTGATAATTAAGTACGGTGTATAGTACGAGCTGAGCAGTAGTCTTTTTTCTGGTATAAAATCAGTGGCGTTGTGGTGAAAGATGATTAACAAATTAACCCCTCATAACTTCATAAGCATAAGAAGAAGTGAAGCTAATTCTAGCTAGCTAACATGAAGGTCCATCAGTTTGGACGTAGTGGATTGATGTTTGATCACGATAATGCAGCCACATCGCTATCCCTTGGCTGCAAGCGTTTGCGGCCACTTGCTCCCAAGCTCGCCGTAGACGGCGGCGCAATCACCATCTCGCCGCCGGTTTTCGATCTCAAGAGCTTCATTAGACCCGAAAGTAGTAGCCCTACCAAGTTGGGATCACCGGAAACAAAGAAAGACTCCCCTCAGGTCCGTTAACTCAATTATATATATCCCTTTTGTTTGTACAATAATGTAACATGCAACAGTAATATAATATAATATAATCCTTTGTGTTTCTTTGAATGAATTGAACTCAGGCGACGGCGGCGGTGGAGACGCATCCGGGCGGAACTCGGTGGAATCCGACGCAGGAACAGATAGGGATTCTGGAAATGCTGTACAGAGGGGGGATGAGAACGCCGAACGCCCAACAAATCGAGCAAATCACGGCGCAGCTTAGCAAGTACGGGAAGATAGAAGGCAAGAATGTGTTCTACTGGTTTCAAAACCACAAAGCGCGCGAGAGGCAGAAGCAGAAAAGGAACACCGCTCTCCTCGCCGCCGGCGGCGGCCTCAATCACACCCCCACAACACCGCCGCCTACACTTCCCTTCGACCTCATTGTGGAGGAAGAAAGTCCAAAGAAGAGAAGATGTAGATCATGGGCGTATGAGTTCTTAGAAATGGAGGAGAAGAGATCGTCTTGCTGTCGGAGAGAGGAGGGGGATAGGACACTAGAACTGTTCCCATTGCACCCAGAGCTAGGGAGATGATGAGAGGATTCATGGAGGGGCCACGCACCCATAATAATAATTGTTCTAATATATAATATAATAACTAATCATGATAATTCTCTACTTAAATTAATTCACGGAGATCTGGATTTGCTTTTAGGTCATTGGAAATGGCCGCCGTGCTTCTTTTCTCTTTCATTTGTACGTACGTTTCCATCGTTTCAGGAAACACCACCACCACCAACAATTAATTAATTAAGGTGTATGTATCATTGGACGCAACCTTACCTACGTTAATTAATCACTCTAATTCTGTTTTCATTATTCTAACCCATCCTAAATTGTTCCTAATTAACCTCAAACCATGCATAGTATGTACATGCTTAATTAATCTTTGTGTTGTTTTTCTTCTATAACGCTAACTTAAACTTATACAAGAAAACCAAACAACTCTTATATATATTTTTTTTCTTTTTCTTCCTTTTTAAAGGAACTCTTTTATACTTGATTGCCTCAAACCACAAAGGCCAAACAACTCTCACTAAGAGTTGGAAATGGATTTAGAATCATGTGATTATTAATTAAGTCAATTATTTTACCAACTTAGCTAGAGTTTGTCCTTATTAATTATCTTAAGCTGACAACATTAAAGATTAATTTAGATTTATGAGAAACTTTGATGTCAGACTTTTGTGACCATAGTTAGAAATGCCTAGATTGTTTATAGCTGATTAGTTCAAATCAATAAGGCCAATAGACAATTCAAAAAAATTTAAATTTGAATCTGTGTTGGTTATCAAACAAACTGTATTTGGCCAATTTAACTAGGGTTGATCTCAAAATTATTATTATTATTAGAAAAATACTACATATACTCCCAACTTGTACGTATTCTCACGAATATTTGATATAGACACTTTTTCTGGGACTCACATAATAAAAATATCATATCATTATTTGCCACATCATGAAGTAAAAGTAAATGAGTAAAATTTGAAATTACATGTAATAGAACTCTTATTATTATTTGATACATTCCTATCCCATTTTTCACCTCTATTTGTACACTCTTCGTAGAAATAATTTTTATCTCCTCTAATCCATTAAAATCTTCTAATAATCTTATAGGTTTTCAATACGATACAAACCTCTACACTATAATTAAAACAAGATTTTAAAATGATGAGTTAAGTGAGCTGAACTAGGAATTTTCACTCTTTCATCTTTCATGGAATCATGGTCTTACAACGCGTAGGAATCTGTGTCCCATAGAATATGACTTCCTTGTTCGTTCATATATAAAGGCAATGGAATATGGATAACTTTCTGTGATCCAGTGGGCTAAATAGCTAAATAAGTCTATTTTATTTCTCAAACCTCAAGCCCAAATATTAGAAGAGAAGGGATTTGATCATACCCGTAACGTGTCAAGTTCTGGAAAACGAAGTTTAATGCGGGTCAAAAGGTCTTGATCTTACGATCAAACGGCGGAGGTGTCATCTCCGTTGCTAACTAGGGTTTCTAGAATAGCCGCCGTACCTGGGGTCAGTATATAAACCTCACAGTGTCCAGCTCGCCGGTTCGCGGTGCAGTTTTCCCTGCGCTCCCCCCAAAAAATATTATTCTTCATTCCCAGCCCTCTTTCTATCGGATCTCCGACGATTTCTATCCCCGTTTTACCCTTCCCTCTCCTCTCTTATTACATCTATCTAAAAAAAACCCAAAAAATCTCCGCCTGCGCTCGCTTCCTGCTTCCATAACCTAACCGTCGGTGGTAGCTTGCATTCTCTGCTGCCAATAAAAATATCAGAGGAGAGGGAATTAAAAAGTAAAAAAAAAAAAAAAAAGTAGAAGTGAATTTGTTTGTTAGTGTTTGAGAGTATAGATTGGAAATAATGGCTCAGATTCAGGTGCAGCATCAGAGTCCGGTGGCGCTAGCAAATGGAGTTCCGCCGCCGGGTGCTGTCGGCCTCCCTGCTCCCCAGTCCGCCGCCGGGGCTGGAAACCAGTTATCCACCACGTCTTTGTACGTTGGGGACCTGGACCCTACCGTCACTGACTCGCAGCTCTACGATCTGTTTAACCAGGTGGGCCAGGTGGTATCAGTTAGGGTCTGTCGGGACATCAGCTCTCGCCGATCTCTCGGCTATGGCTACGTCAACTATAGCAGTCCTCAGGATGGTTAGTATGGAGTAGTTCCCTTTTAATTTTGTTTTCTTCATTTTAAGTACGGTTTGTTAGGCGTTATTATATTGTGTATGTTCCAAACATGGAAAATCTGTGTGTTTATCGGGTGCATGGTGGAAAAGACTTGTATCTTGTACGAGATTTTGTTGTAGCACAAATTCTATGTATGATGTGTGATTTTGCTAGGTTTTGATTTAAAGCGGTTGTAAAATTTGCTCTATTATTCAGCATTAGCTATCTTTATTTGTGTGCTCTATATTTTATATCACTTGCTGAAAGTTAACGACTGCAACATGTGTCTTTTTGCTTGTGTTGTTTTCAGTTTTCTCTACAATTTGATAAATTTGTGTCTTCTACATTTGGAGACTGTGTTAGTACTCTATAATCTCCAGCATATATGGCTTGACCAAATTTTATAATCATATTCCTAGGAAAGATTCCATATTCTGCTGAATTTTGTTCCCATAGACTTGTAGTTAGCACTCAAATGTTTCACTTCAGATATGCAGGTCTCTCTTTTTGCCAATTGTGTTTGAATTTGTTGGACTTGTCCAACAGACAGACTTATGTGTCTTTATTACTTGTAGAATGTGTCATCATTTTTATTTTTTTCCTGTCTTTGATTGCAGCTGCAAGAGCAATGGAAGTATTGAACTTCACTCCTGTCAATAGCAAGTCTATTAGGATAATGCATTCTCACCGTGACCCTAGCCTGCGTAAGAGTGGAACTGCAAATATATTTATTAAGGTAATTGTAGTTGCATAATTGAATTTTCAGTTATGGTAGCCAAATTTGTTCTATTTTGCATTGGTTTTGGCGGCTGGTATCTGAAAGATCAACTTCAAAATTCAACTATGAAACAATGGTGTTATTTTCTGCATTTCTTTTTGCTGATATGTGCTTAATTGTGTTCTTGTACATATGCTATTATTATTTGTGCAGAACTTGGACAAGTCAATTGACAACAAGGCCTTACATGACACATTTTCAAGCTTTGGAAACATTCTTTCTTGCAAGATAGCTACTGATCCTAATGGTCAGTCTAAGGGTCACGGTTTTGTACAGTTTGACAATGAAGATTCGGCTCAAAGTGCCATTGATAAGTTAAATGGTATGCTCATTAATGACAAACAAGTGTATGTTGGACCCTTTCTTCGTAAACAGGAAAGAGATACTGCTACGAATAAAACCAAGTTCTACAATGTTTTTGTCAAGAACATATCAGAATCCGTAACAGATGAGGATCTGACAAAAACCTTTGCTGAATTTGGGAATATTACTAGTGCTGTAGTGATGAGGGAAGATGATGGAAAGTCAAAATGTTTTGGGTTTGTCAATTTTGAGAACGCAGATGATGCTGCCAGGGCTGTCGAAGCTTTGAATGGGAAGAAATTTGATGATAAAGAATGGTATGTTGGGAAAGCCCAAAAGAAATCAGAAAGGGAACAAGAACTAAAAAATAAGTTTGAGCAGAGTGCAAAGGAAGCAGTGGATAAAAACCAAGGTTTGAATTTGTATGTCAAAAATTTGGATGACAGTATTGATGATGACAAGCTCAAGGAGTTGTTCACTGACTATGGTACAATAACATCATTCAAGGTATATACCAGGGCCTTCAGAAAATTGTGATCTGCTTCTTCTTCTTCTTCTTTTTTTAGATATTAACCTAGTGCTTTCTTCTTTAAATTCTTTGATGCTCTCAAGTCTCAACACCTTTGTTTAACCTGATGTTTCAGGTTATGCGGGATCCTAGTGGAATTAGCAGAGGGTCTGGATTTGTTGCCTTCTCAAATCCTGAGGACGCTTCTAGAGCGGTAAGCTAATAGTAGTGTAATATGATGCTGTTTTGACTTTGCATGATTTTGAATGAAGTTTTTTTTTTCCCAAGTAAAAGTTGAGCTAATTATTATCTTTTTGTTAGCTTTTGGAGATGAATGGGAAAATGATTGTTAGCAAGCCGCTTTATGTTGCACTTGCTCAGCGGAAAGAGGAGAGAAGGGCAAAGCTGCAGGTAACTTAATGAACAGGCTTTGGTGTTAAGCTTGAAGCATACTGTTTGTCACATGTGACCTCTGTTGAGAAGTGACTTTTTACTCGGTTCCTATTGATTTTTATTTTATTGGTTGCAAGAGAAGGGCTAGTGATGTTCTACACTTGCATTTATGCCTGTAATAGAGCTCTAATCATGTATTCAACTATTCATATGCACTCCCCTCAAATATGTGTAATTGTTTTCCCACTTCTTCAGGCGCAGTTCTCAGAGATGAGACCAGTTGCAATGACACCATCGCTTGCTCCTCGTATTCCAATGTATCCTCCTGGTGCACCTGGTATGCCACAACAACTCTTTTATGGACAAGGTCCACCTGCTATAATTCCTCCTCAGGTACTGACTTTTTGACTCTATTCTTCTCTACAATGCCTGCTTATGTAGTATTTGTCAAGGCGTTTTTTGCCATCCTAATTCTGGTGGCTCTATTGCTACGTTTTTGGTTGCTCTAATGTAAATAAAATTTTTCCCTCTGTCCTAGTTGTGAAGTTTTACAATGATTTATCTGATACTAGTAGATGAAAAACTGGCAGATGATTATTATGAATGATTATTACTCTTTTATTTGTGCACTCTTCAAAGTACATCATTGAAATGGTGTGCTGAGGATTTTATGTGACATGATATAATCATTCACCATGATAAGCTGCCAGTGTCTGGGTTCTTTTTAGTTAATAAAAAACTATTGTTTCTAGGCTGGATTTGGGTATCAACAGCAGCTTGTTCCTGGAATGCGACCTGGAGGGGGTCCTATGCCAAATTTCTTTGTGCCGATGGTGCAGCAGGGACAGCAGGCACCGCGTCCAGGTGGCAGACGTGGAGCAGGACCTGTACAACAAACTCAACAGCCCATCCCCTTGATGCAGCAGCAGGCATGCTATTATTTGCAAATGCAGTCTAGTTTTTATTGTCTGTCTTATTGATTGATCAGATTTAAAAATTGTCTTGATATATTTTCTTAGATGCTCCCAAGGGGAAGGATGTATCGCTATCCAGGTGGCCGTAATGTGTCAGATGGGCCTATGCCAGGTGTTGGGGGCATGGTTTCTCTTCCGTATGATATGGGTGGCAT